GTTATATCTGTCAGACACGTCTTTACTATATAATTTTATTTAATTAGCAACATAGAATCATTACGTAGATCATTATATACTTTATTAACAGTTGTATGGCATCTTGACTTAGCGGTTAAGTAGGTTAATGAGTTTTACATGGGCGTGTGTTGTAGCAGACTCCAGCTGCAGCCAGACCCTGCTTTAAATACAATTTGAAAAAACAATGCATGTATATCTATGTGGTTATCATGGAAAACAATTTAATTACTTATTTTCATCTTAACTTGTTGTGTATGGTGAGCTGACAACTCCTCTGACTGTCGGACTTCTTAATGCGCAGGCATGGTACTCACTGCATGTATGCTATCCTGACAGCGTATGGTAATCTAATGGGCTCTTTGCACCTACGGCGTTGACGTTACATCTCCAAGAGCTAATGCGGCTCACTTGTTTCCGCTTTGAGTTACCATGACTGGTAGAAAAGACTAAGTCGTATTTCAGATGCAAAAAATGCAATACTATGAACGTTGTTGTCTTCCTAATATAATGAGCTTTTAAGTTTTCGTTAATTTCCAAGCGATCCTGGCTTGTAAATATCTGTCGCTACCAGCTAACGCCGCACAGCAAAGTTTGCAGCCTTCACTTCACTCCGGATCAGCCTAAAAATACGAGGGATACGGATGATAAATAAAGGAGCCTCCCTGAGTTATTTCCATGGAATCACTTATGTATTCAGCCTGAAATAGCGAGTATATGGGAACGAGAGAGCAGACCAGAGCCAGACAGCCGAGCAACTGATCCGCCTGTACATACTGTTGTAAACACCGCCCTAGCCCAGCTCTTCACAAGAAACATGCAAAGGTAATAAAACGAAATAACACGGAAACATGAAGCAACACGATCATAATTTTCTAAAAGCAGCAACTTTGAACCTGAACAGCTGAACCAGATCTCTGACACCAGAGCTGCGCTACTGTTAAGCTATGAGGCTTGTTGAGCTCCGTCAGGCTTCGGAAGTAAAAAGTCCGAACCGTAACCTCCCCGTTAGTCTGTGACACTAACGACAATAAACATTCATAATATACTTGAAAATAAGATAAATACATTGTCCGTTAGAATGTTTAGATACTTAAA